GGTCACGTACTATACGGAATAATTCCGCCTGCTGATTGGACGCTTCGCTTATCCGGTTAGCGAAATATGTTCGACTGGCAGCCTTTACCTTGGCCAGGTAAAGGTTAGTAGCGACCTTGACAGCTATACAATTGAAATCCATCAGGTCCTTTCTCCATTTGCGCTCTAGCCGTCTCCTGACCCGCTTCGATGCCCGGAGATCCTGGTTAAACCAGGGCGCCAGGCAATCTCTGCAGCAGAGAGGGCGTTTTGGAGCGATCGTGTCTACGGCACTAGTCGCGGCGGTATAGCAGCCGACGACCAGAGCCTCGACAGGAGCGCCAGCCAGGTCAGCGTAACCCCTCTCATGGCTTCTTGGAATCCAACCGGATCCAATAGCCTTCGAGGGCGCACCATGACAATAGGTCCCTGCTCCCTGCGAGGGGGAAGGGCCATTTTGAGGGTGCATTTTATTAGGTGGTGATCCGACCATGACAAGGGTTAGAGTTATATTAGGGAAATTTCAGAACAAATGAATACTTACCAATGGGACACCTCTACCATGGAAATAAAGCAGGCCCAGTCCCCATAATCCAATAGAATTGCCCTAAATAATAATCATGATAGGTAGCAGTAAGTAGTAGTAGCAGTAGCAACAGTAGTAATTGAATATGTAGATCAAGCATGTCAGAAACTTCTGCTCCCTGAGATGTAGGAATATTTGTTAACTTGCATCCAGTTATGTCTGGCCACCTTCGTATAATTGCTTCACTGGCCACAAGCTCAAAACAAAATACACAGATATTTCATACTGTTGCAAACATCCAATCAGACTTTCATAGCCTTTTCAGTTCCTTCTACCTTTTTGACACAACCTTTAGCAAAGAGCTCATTCACCACCTACTAGCACTAATTCATAGGGTACTTTGAAATAGTAAATTTAAAAAGGCAGCTGCTAAATGCCAACAGTCTAAAAATGCTGGCCAAGTAACAGCAGGCAACGGATGAAGACACAATGTGCTTTGACACATGACATCTCCGATACATCACAACTTGATTCTCAAGTGAATGTTTGATGCAATGAAGTCAACATTGAAGCAACACTTTCCTAGACCATTTGTGGTGTCAGTCTCTCTTTCAAAGATAATCTTATGATTATACTTGGTGTTTTCCACATTAGGTATGTTATTGCACTTCTGGTAGCAAAACTTTTGGCTAGTTCAGCAAGAACCTTTTTAGAATATTAATACCATCGGGTTAGCTGTGGATTATTATCTCTCATCATCTTCAACCACTGTAAGGGGGCATGATCAGTAATTAAGGTGAATGGGGCACCCAACAAATAGTATCTTATTGAATGTACAGCCCATTTTACTGCCAAAGGTTCTTTCTCAATAGTTGCATATTTCTGCTCCCTAGGTGTTAGTTTTAGGTAGGGTAGGGTAGGTGGGGCTCGTCAGCCATGGAAGGCAGCCCATCTAGGAGAAGGAAAACTCCAATTTCAAACCCCCACTGCCTTGTGGTTATATCCACTCATGGAAAAGGCTTCAGGAGTTAACCTCGAGGCAAAATCCGGAGCTGGAGTCCCGAAGGCAGCATGTGTCATTCTGCCAACTCCTGCGACATTGCTGGAACCAGTTGTATTCGCTCTTGCCTTTCCATTGGACCATTTCAGCGATGTGGAGAGGGGGGATCTGCTGCTTGGGTAACAGCCTATCCTCCATATTACCTTACCCGGGCTTTATGCTCTGGAGAGAACACTCCTCGATTCAGAGCATGTTATCATAGTCTCTCGAGACTGAAGGATGCCTATGCTTATGGTGTTAGTTTTTTACTTATATACATCACCGGATATTCAACTCCATTCCTATTTTGTGCTAACACCGCCCCTATTTCTTTATCTGAAGCATCAGTCTGTACCAAGAAAGGGATATTAAAATCAGGAGCATACCGACTAGGCAATGAATTCAACACTTCCTTCAAATGATCAAACATCTTTTGTTCTAGACTGCCATATAATCTTCCATGCCATCTTTTTTTTTGGTAAAGTCTGTGAGCGGTGCCACTAAAGGTAAAGGTTCCCCTTGACAATTTTTGTCCAGTCATGGTCGACTCTAGGGGGCGGTGCTCATCCCCGTTTCCAAGCCATAGAGCCAGCGTTTTGTCCAAAGACAATCTTTCGTGGTCACATGGCCAGTGCGACCAAGGTGGTCCCTATTTATCTACTTGCATTTGCATGCGTTTGAACCGCTAGGTCGGCGGGAGCTGGGACAAAGCAACGGGAGCTCACTCCGTCACGTGGATTCGATCTTACGACTGCTTGGTCTTCTGCCCCTGCAGCACAGGCTTCTGCGGTTTAGCCTGCAGCGCCACCACGTCCCTCAATAAAGTTAGGGACAAACTGTCATCATCATCATCATCATCATCATCATCATCATCATCATCATCATCATCATCATCATCATCATCAAGGTTCTCTCACCCCTGAACTTAAGCTCTCAAAAGGTTCCCCAGGGCAAAAGTGTATGTAGAGAGCTTTGAAATCTGAAAGGGTTGGGGAAGAATATGAAGCTTTCAGAGCCTTTAAATTAATTATACCCAATGCCCAGATCTGGTTTGTGCCAGTGTAAATATGTCAGCAGAATTTTGCCTAGTATTTGATTGCCTTTTACTGCTATTTCGTGTCCAAATCACTAGATCAATCTTCTACATCACGTCAGACTGATCTGATCTAATTAATTCAGGAACTCTGATATAATTCAGTCCTTTTTCTCAATTAGCTCAAACCAGCCTGATTCAGTTGGGAAGTCTGACTTCAGCTGAGTGGGTTCCACAGTCTTAATTAAAATGTTATAGATGCCATTAAAAACAAGAGTAGTTTGTCAAGCAGGCTGAGAACCAGAGAGATATAAATATAGTCATTTGTAGGATTTATTCTCTACTTTTTAAAATCAAGGACATGCTGCATAGATGAACCCTTCTCCCCTGATATTCTGTGAGGCACACAGATTCACTCAGGTTCACCCAAAACTGAAGACAGGGTTTGGAGTGAGGAACAATGGTCAAAGATCAATCAGAGGAAAGAAAGGGGAAAGGACATTTGTTGTTAACAGCAGAGGGCAGAATTGAAATAAAGTCTTAATGGGGCCATTAAATGAATTATGATTGGTTCTACAGTCCATATGTTATGACCAAAAGAAACAGTAGTTCTGAAGAAGTTGGCCAGGAGGCAAACTAAGCACCTAGTTCTTTGTTGTATATGTTCATTGTATTACTGTGTATGCTACACATGTACGCATGCACACAAGTTATGTATATACAAACATTACATTAGTACATGCTGTCACATATGTTAATTAAGGATCATATCCCAGCTAATCTTTCAGCCCCAGGAATGAGATATATGGGGCTTTGCAGGTGGTGTTGGTTTGCAATGTCCATGATACTCCCTCTTATCTAAGAAAGTCAATCCAATGCCATCTGGATGTTTCCCATCCCTGAACTATCCTTATGAAACTTTGCAAGGATCTTAGCAGATGAACCTCCATTTTGCTTGTCACCTTCATGCAAACCGTCCACAAAAAGAAACAAGAGGGCAAATTCCAATTATTAGTGCCAACTAGAGTAAGGCCATAGAATCATTGGGACCTCAGTATGTCAACAATTATGTGTTCCACTGACATCTACAGGGAATAAACACAAATACACCCCCTAAAGCCTCCTCTCCTGGCGTGCTCTGGTCCATGGGGTCACAAAGAGTCGGACACGACTTAATGACTAAACAACAACAACAAAAGCCTCTTCACATGAAAATATTCCAATTTTTTTTCTGAAATTTGGCAAGTTTGCAAACTTGATCTATCTGTATTGTATGCATGCATGTCCACCCCCCTTACTTCCATGTTATAATAAGACATACCAAAAGCCTTACAAAGTGTACCAAAGCAAGGCTTTGATTTGACTTTAAGTACCCTTCCTAAGACTCTTAAGTAAACCAACAAAGAAATGGATTCTGCATCATTTATTTCCCAATGTATTCCCCTGTTAGATATGCACATCTCAGAATTAAAGCGGAAAGGATGCCTAAGCTAACATATGTGAAAACATTTGGATGAACATGGGAGCAACATAAAAACTATATATTTGCAGTAATTATTGAGTCTTGTTTAATGGGAGAATACAGTAGGACGTCTTATCCATGGGATCAGTATCCACTGATTCACTTAGTATGAAAATAGAAAAAATATTAAAAGAAATACAATCCATAAAAACTATTTTCACATGTATTATCAGAACAGGCCATTAAAGGGAGTGAGAGACCGTGCCAAGAATACTTGTTAGTGAAGAATACATAGCATGGTCTTTGTCACCCTCTAGTGGCCAATTCTGGTAATACAGGTTTTTTTTTCCTTTTTGCATGATATATATACCTTTTTAGCTCTGCGGACTGGCTGGGGAAGGCAGGGCACCCCCTGTGCTAATGCGCACGCATGAAGGAGCTTGTATGCTCTTGTGCGGGCACTCATGTACATGCACAAGAGGGCAGTGCAGCGCTCGTGCGGGTGCCCGTGCGCAGGCACAAAGGGTGGTGCAGCACTCGTGTGGGCACTTGCGCGCTCACACGCAGGTGCAAATGGGCTGTGCAGGGGGGTATGCGTGTGAGGGTAGGTGGGGAGGTCTGTCTCCATGGCCTGGTCTGTCTCAGGCCACAGACTGGCACTGGACTGCAGACCCTGGGTTGGGGACCTCTGATAAATAGTGTTTGCTATTATCATGGTTTTCAATATCCACAGGGGGCTTGGAACCAATCCCCAGTGGATATGGGGTTCTACTATATTTATCTAATAAGAAAGAAATTGCTCTATGCTTGTATTAATCTGTGTTTGTACGTAGGGCCTAAAGAGATCCTAAGCCATGGTAGAGGACATTTAAAATCACTTCACTAATTTATATCATATCTGTTGTAAACCTACCACAATTTAAAATCACTGAAATGTTAGTCAAGTTGTCACAAGCCCATGGAAGGGGTTCATTAACCAACAGATGGTGTTCAATCGATTATGTAAAAAAAAATCAGTAATATGAAACCTATCTGTTACTTGAAGACTACATTTTACTCAAAAATCTATCTACATTACAAGACCATGTAAAAACTTGTTATGGTGGAAGAAATTATTCAAAGGCAGAAAATACAATACCTTGTCAGCTGCCATTATGAAATACTTCAAGGCTGTAATGTTACTCTGAGTCACTGCAGCACTTCCTTCTAAATACATCTGTAATGTTAAAAATATATATTTATGTAATTATGGATATAGGCACAAAACCAATATTTGCCACAATAACTTGAAAACTATGATGTTCCTTTAAGTCTTACCGTACTTTACAATTGTAATTGAAAACTATGATGTTCCTTTAAGTCTTACTGCACTTTACAATTGTAATTACAATATGAAGCCCTCCATGGTTGTTGAGTTCCTGTGTTACTTTTTAAATGAGCGTATATTATATAAGCAGTTGAACAAATCCTGCATTGGTTTTAAAATTCTGAACAATGAATAACCAAAAGGACCCAACAACTGAAAGAAATGAAACAAAAATCCCTAATTATTATTTAATATACCTATTATATTTGTTTTAAAATAATACTCAAGTTGGAGAGTAAATGTTTGGGCCATGGTACTTGTTGGAGCATCTCTCCTTAATGTCACCTGCCCAATCCACAAGATCATCCCGGTTGAGGCTCCTCCGGATAACCATCCCAAGGGAGACCCATAAATCTTCTTCAAGAGGTAGGGCCTTCTTCACAGTGGCTCCAACTTTATGGAACCAGCTTCCAAAGGAGCTCTGCCTAGCCCCCTCCCTGTGGACATTTAGGAAGCAATTGACATTGATGGTTGTTGTGGGTTTTTTGGGTTTTTTGGCCGTGTTCTGAAGGTTGTTCTTCCTGACGTTTTGCCAGTCTCTGTGGCCGGCATCTTCGGAGGACTGGAGTAGGAACTCTGTCGATGCTCTGTTGCTGTTGGATAGTTGAGTATTTATAGCTGTGGGAACAGCTTTTGTCTTTTTTCAGGAGATATGGTGATTAGCGTGTTTTTGTTGTGATAAGGGGGAGAGATTATCTGTCACTATGATTGATGGATGTTGTTAGCTGGTCTTTTTTGTGCAATGATCCCTGGTCCTTGTGGCTGGGTAGAGTTCACTGACCTTTTGCAGGCTGTATTTTTCAGTATTGGGAGCCAGGCTGTTTTTAGTTTTAGGCCTTCTTTTTGTTGAAGTTCTGTTTATGTTTATGGATTTCAATGACTTCCCTGTGCAGTCTAACCTAATGATTGCTGGTGTTGTCCAGTACTTCAGTATTTTGAAATAGAATTTCATGTCCAGCTTGTTTTAGGCCATGTTCAGCTACTGCTGATTTTTCCAGTTGTTTTAGTCTGCAGTGTCTCTCATGTTCTTTGATTCTGGTGTGAATGCTGCATTTTGTGGTTCCAATATATATCTGTCCACAACTGCAAGGCATCCAGTATACTCCCGCAGTGGTAAGGGGGTCCCTTCTGTCCTTTGCTGACCCTAACATTTGTTGTATTTTTGTGGTGTGCTTGAATACTGTTTGTAGGTTGTGTTTTTTCAAAAGTTTCCCCATGTGGTCCATGACCCCTTTGATGTATGGCAGAAATAGACCAGACCAGATGGGCGGGATATAAATAAAATAAAATAAAATAAAATAAAATAAATAAATAAATACTTTATTTGTGGGTGGCTGTTTTTCCTCTTCAGTTTGGTGTTGTTTTCTTGGTTTGATGGCTCTTTTGACTTCATTCTTGGAATAGCCATTTGCCTGTAGGGCCCAATTCAGATGGTTGAGTTTGGTGCTGAGAAATTGAGCTTCACAGTTCCGATTTGCATGGTCTACCAGAGTTTTGATTATGCCTCTTTTCTGTCGTGGGTGGGGGTTGGAGTTTTTGTGTAGGTACCAGTCTGTGTGGGTGGGTTTTCTGTAGACCTTGTGTCCCAATAGGAGGTCAGTTTTGTGTATGACCATGACATCTAAGAACGGGAGTTCGCCCTCTATTTCTTTTTCCATGGTGAATTGGTTTGTTTCAATAACAGTTTGGAATTAAATTTAAGAATGAATGAATTAATATTAAATCAATGCATTGTGGTGAACATTTAAAACTCAAAATGTTTTAACCTGATAAATTGACATCATTAACGTGTTAGTTTAATGAACTCCCTCTATGAGAATATATGTTAGGCATAATCTGCTTTTCCAAAGGTAAAAACATCTACTGTATGCCTCTGTTTAGAAATTACATTTATAAAAGATAGTCTACCTCTGGAAGTATAAATGGAATTAGTTAATAATACTCAGAAATCATAGTTAGTTAACAATCTACATTCTTTCACTGGGCTTCTTGAAGTTACATTGTAAGTAAGATTATCAAATGCCAACAGCAGGGAATCACTGTTCTGTCACAAATACGTGTTCCTAGTATATTTTCTCAGATCAGTACAAAAAGATTTGCCTGAGTTTATAGGCCTCACGAAAAGGTGCCCAGTTACTGTGCTGGCTCAGTAATTTATAGTCCTTTTCACACATACTCCACTAACCCATGTACCCACATAGATGACTACACAGAGGGAATTAGTGTGAGGTAGGTTCCCTAAGCACCTACTCTTGTATGGGCTAGAATCCTAATTTGCCTTCCATTTTCAGAAGGGATTCTATGCACAAGATGCTCCCACTGAGAGGAGGAGAAGAGCTGTGATTTTCAATTATTCTTCCCTCAGTTTTTCAACTGCTAGCTGTACTCCCTGGTGCTGTTCCAGAGGGTCTCTCACAACTTTCTGCAGCAGATTTTTAGGAGGAAAAGAGGAGTTAGCAAATGTAACCCTGCCTCATCAGTGATCTTGTGACTGGACTTACACTTGTGGAATACAAGCCACTAACTGAGAGGGAGATGCACTCTTTTTAATTTTTTTTTTAATTTAAACTAAGGAATATATCAGGAGGTTAGAATAGAGAAAGAAATGTCAAAACCTCCCCACAAAACTTTTTCTGTCTCCAGAAAAAAGCTTTTCTTTTTCAAAACTTAGCCCTGTAAAATAATGCATGATACTCTTTTGATTTTACATAAAGAAATGACAGATAGTCATTATCTCTCTTGCAGCACAATGGAATGCCAGGATAATTATTTTATTTATAAATTGAATAGCAGTTTACTAAACCTTATTGCAAAACAATTAGCTGGCCTTCCAGTTGAGCATATAATAACATTCCTCACAGTTGAACATGTTTACAAATGATGGTTGTGAACAAAGTAAAGAATTGGAACTATATTGAACTAATTGTTTGCAATAAGTAAATTGTTAATGTGACAGCCCCAAGGTGTTCCAGATCCAATGATTTGCACTACTTTATTTTACTAGACCCTTGTGGTTCCATCCTATTGAAATTCATAGGCTCTGTAGCTGTTTGTCACAACAATAATGTTAATTGTCATGACGGCAACTTGCCAGATTCTGATTTGCAGGAACTGTAAGAATAGAAAATGTAATAGAGATTTCTATTAAATAATAATATCTGCTGATTTTACAGATTTTATATACAGTTCCAGCAAAAGTCTGTTGTGTACATCTGAAAGAACTAAAAACATAGGAAGGCAAATGTGGCGTTTGCCCTCGTGGCCCCTGTTTGTCTCACTAAACACAGAGCTC